GGGGGGGGGGAGGAGTGGTGGTCGCCTTTTGGATCTGCAGCATGAGGCTGGAGACGAAGAGGCCTGGGAGAGGGGTGGGGGAGGGGGTGGGGGAGGGGTGGGAGAGCGAGGGGAGGGGGCGGTCAAGACGGCGGGGCACGGGGCGGGGCGTGCCGTCGAGGTGTACATTCGCCTGCGACGGAGGCGGCGGTTGCAGCGGTGAGGGGAGGGTCGAGGTCGAAGAGGAGGGGCGAGCGGCGTCGGCCGGCGACGCGGCAGCGGCGGCAGCGGGCGGCGGCGGGCGGCGGCGGGCTGACACCTCAGGCGCCGTGTGCTTGCGTGGTGCGTACGTTGTGCGCGTGCAAGTAATGGGGAGGAGGGGAGGTAAGGGCGCGCCTCCGCGTTTGCGTCGGGCTGGAGGATGGAGAGCTCGGGCGACTCGGGAGAGAACTGCTTCAGGATTTGCTTGAGCGCCTTGTAGTCGATGTACTGCTCCGTCCACGGCGCGTGCGCCTACCCACGGACACCGTCGGTGCACGCTCCGCTGGTGATTGCGCCGCCGCCAGCCTCGGGGCAGAGGCGAGTGCGAGGCAGAGGGCGGAGATACGCGACCGTCTCTGCCGCCACCACCTCCACCGCCTCCTCCTCACCCACACCACCTCCGCTCCGCTAACACCGCTGCCACCACCAGCTGCGTCGAGGCGTGCCCCGCCGACTCGGAGCGTGCTGCTGCGCCACGCCGCGCCGCGCCAGACCGCGCCCCGACATCCGCCCCCAAGAGAGTCCATGCCGCAGTAGCGTCTCTCTCCCGCAGAGTGTGTGCGGGCCGCAGTGTAGCCTAGCCCGCCAGCGCACACACTGCACGGGCGGTGGGACGGGCGGGCCGAGGAGGGGAAAGAGCGCGCTGTGGCGCGCCTCGTGGGCCAGCTGCTTGCCAAACTTCATGGTCGGAGCCTTGGATGTGACACACCACCACCGTCGGCCTGGCGGTCGCCGATTTTTTTGTGATCTGTGATCTGTGATCTGTGAGGCGCGCGAGTGACCTCAAAGAGCTAGAAATAAGACCTGGCGTGAGGCCGACGGTGGCGGGGATGGCGCGGTGCGCGGTCGGAGGAGAAAGGGGAGTGGCGGAGGGGCGCTGCAGGGGGGGAGGCGTGCCGACTGCGGACTGCCGAGAGGCTCCGAGAGAGGGAGGGAGAAAGGGAGCGTCCGTCCGCGGTTTTCTCGCAGAAATAAAGAAAGAAAACAGACAACCCAAACGAGGGATAGGGGAGGAGGACAGGGTCCACAGCTCCACACCTGCACGAGCAGGATTTTGGAAAGGACGATCGATCAGGGGGACAGGTGGGCTCTCCTGCTCCTGACAAGGGACACGACAGGCTCGCAGCGCGGTGCACGGTGGAATCCCAACTCCACTGGCGGAGTGGCGGTCTCATCTCAGTCTAGCGACCTTCCTCCGGCTTCTCACCGGCAGTAGTCTCTCACTATACCACAGGCACACTGACACAGGGGTGGCAGGGGCGGCGGCATGAGTCTCCCACATACTATGCGGGCCTCACTAGAGGTGCGGCCTGCGGTTTTCAGGCATCGCCGCAGCGCTGTCTGCGCCGCAGTCCCGCACCCGTCGACGAAGCTCCCCCCGCGGAATACACACACACACACACACTAGAGGTGGGTTTTCTCAGCTCGGCGCTGCCGGGTTTTCTTCTCGCGCTGTCTCGACTCGGGCGCCCTACGCCTAGGGCGCTCCTCCCCACCGATCATTTGCCTACAGGTCATGTTGTTGCTCAGGTCCACTCTCTCTTCGAACACTCGTGCCTCTACGGATGATGCCGGCGCTGGGGTCCCCTTCGGATGCATCGTGACATCTGACAACTGGATTTCCACTGGTTCGTCCTCCTCGGAGTCATCTTCCCCGTCCTCCTTCCGCTCGGCTCTTCGCTCGGTACGTTCGGTGTGGCTCACCCTCCATGCCGTGAACAGGCGCTTTATCCACCCTATATTCTTCTCTCGTTCCTCTGCCCGTGCCTTGGTCTTGTCGTTGTTTCGCACCCATGTCTGTATGGCAATCGAGGCTGCCTTCCGAGGTGAGAGGAGATGCACGCGCAGGTGCCTGTTTTCTTCTCGCGCTGTCTCGACTCGGGCGCCCCTAGGCGCTCCTCCCCACCGACTCGCGCTCTCTCGCCTGCCAAAGATCGATGGGCGAGTCGGCCTACAGCTTCTCGCTCACCACCTTCTCGCCCTCTGGGAAGCTTGTGCAGGCGTGCCGCGACTCCACAGCGCCCGGTTGGACGCGCTCGCCGCCCAGGCCCGCCGCTGCACGGAACCCACCAGCCTTGCCCGCTGCTCGTCGCCTGCAGATTGAGTATGCGCTGAACGCCGTCGCCACCGGCGCCACCTCGCTCGGCGTGAAGGGTGCGCAATGCCGCCCGCCTGCCCGAGCGGTGAGCGATGACCACCCAGCGCCGACCCACCCCTCGCCTGCCGCCGTGCGCAGCCAAGAACGGGGTGGTGATCGCGACGGAGAAGAAGCTGCCCACCTGCCTGATCGACGAGACGAGCGTCGAGAAGATTGTCATGCTCACCGAGAACATCGCAATCGTCTACTCAGGTTGACCCGCCCGCGCCTCCGTCTCTCTTCTCTCCTCTCGTTGCCCCTCCCTCTCCTCTCTTGTCCCGTCGCCCCTCCCGTCGCCCTTCCCGTCGCCCCTCCCGTGTTTTCGGCCGTACGTATGCCCTTCGGCCCGCCCTTCCTGGCGACCGGTCGCCGCCTACCGGTCCAGGGATCGGACCTGACTTCCGCGTGCTGTACAAGAAGGGGCGCAAGGCTGCGCAGGCGCGCCCACCGCCACACGCCGAGACGACCTCTCGGAGCCCTTGTCCGTGAGCCGTCTCGGAGCCTTGCTGCAGGCCTACTACCGCGTCTACCGCGAGCTGATCCCGATCCAGCAGCTGGCGAGCACAAGCTCCCCTCTCGCCTCCCCCTGCCTCGCCGCCTCCCCTCACAACCTCCCCTCTCGCCTCCCCCTGCCTCGCCGCCTCCCCTCCCTACGCCTCCCCTCCCCTCGCCTCGCCTCCTTCTCCCCTCCCCTCCTGCTCTCTCCTCCCCCCTCCCTCCCCCGCCGAGCCTCCAAGCCGGCTGAGGCCGCCACTCAAAAGCCCCCCCCTGCCCCCTGCCCCTCCTCCCCCTCCCCCCCCTCCCTGCTCCCGCCCTGCTCCCTCCCTGCAAAGGTGGGTGCGCCTGCTTTCAGCCATGCAGACCCCAACCCCCCCCCCCCCCCTCCCCCCCTCCAACAGGTGCGCGAGCTCGCCTCCGTGATGCAGGAGTTCACGCAGCAGGGCGGAGTCCGCCCCTTCGGAGTCTCGCTCCTCCTCGCCGGATTCGACCACGTGCGAACCCAACCCCCCTCCTCGCCTGCCCCCTCCCGGCAGCACCGCGCAGCGCTAGAGAGGCCGCCGCCGCCGCCGCCGCCGCAGGTTGGGCCGCAGCTCTTCCAGATCGACCCGTCGGGCTCGTACTTTGCGTGGAAGGCGAGAGGCTAGCCGAGAGACTAGCCGAGAGGCTAGCCGAGAGGCTAGCCGAGAGACTAGCCGAGAGGCTAGCCGAGAGGCTAGCCGAGAGGCTAGCCGAGAGGCTACCCGAGAGGCTAGCCGAGAGGCTAGCCGAGAGGCTAGCCGAGAGGCTAGCCGAGAGGCTAGCCGAGAGGCTAGCCGAGAGGCTAGCCGAGAGGCTAGCCGAGAGGCTAGCCGAGAGGCTAGCCGAGAGGCTAGCCGAGAGGCTACCCGAGAGGCTAGCCGAGAGGCTGGCCGAGAGGCTAGCCGAGAGGCTAGCCGAGAGGCTAGCCGAGAGAAGCTCGTGCTTCTAGCCGAGAGGCTAGCCGAGAGAAGCTCGTACTTCTAGCGGAAGGCGGCCGCCTGGCCGAGCCTTCGGGCAGCCTCGGGATGCTCGCGCTCTTCTCGTACAGCACCCGGCCCCTGCTGCGCTGCTAGGCGTCTGCCATCGGCAAGCACATGGTCAACGCAAAGACCTTCCTTGAGAAGCGGCGAGAGACTAGCCGAGAGACTGGCCGAGTTAGCCACCTGGTCGCGAAGGGTTTGCTCGAGGAGGAGCGGCGCCGAGCAAGAGGCGGGACGCGAGATCACGCCGCACGCACCTTCCCCGAGGCTCGGAGCCCGTCTGGAGCCTCCTCCCCCCTCCCCGCCCCTCCCGCTAGGTACAACGACGAGCTCGAGCTCGAGGACGCCGTCCACACCGCGCTGCTCACGCTCAAGGAGGGCTTCGAAGGCGCGATGGACCACACGAACATCGAGGCGCGCCGCCCAGCTCCCGCCCTCGCCCCCGGCTCCTCGCCACACCCCAACCTCTTGAGCTCTCCTCCTCTCGCGCCGCCAAAGGTTGGCATCGTCGGGCCGGACCAAAAGTTCAAGGTGCTCACCCCGGCAGAGATCCAGGACTACTTGGGCGAAGTGGAGTGATGACCTCTGTAAACACACAGCGAGCATCAGGCGCACCGCATGATCGGACGACCGCGACGCGGCGGGCTCCTGCTCGTTCTATTTTGCTTTTTACTGTGATGTAAAATAAATTGGGTCGGCAGTGTGCGGCTGCGGGCGAGAGGGCACAACAAGCGCCGCCCGGCAAAATGTGCAGAGCGTGCTGCGGCTGCGGGTGCAGCGCCAGCGGCGAGCGGGTCCCCCCCCGGCCCCGCCCGGCCCGCGGCCGCCGCGAGTCCGGAGCGTGGCCCGGCGGGGACTGAGGACTGATACGACCCGGTGTCAGCACACAGCGCGCAATGCAGGCTACTACTCCCCGGCGGCAACCTCACTCTCGGGCTCGTACTCGACGGCATCGCCACTGTTGCTTCGCCACCCGACGGCCGGCGTGTGGGGCGGCACCGCTGCCGGGTCCGCCGGGCCGAGCCTCTGCGCCTCGCGCCACAGCCGCTCGGAGGTCTCGAGCGGCTGAGCAGAGTTGGCAAACCCCCACGCGCCGGTCAGCCCCGCGGGGCCGCGGAGGTAGGAGGAGGCGTCGTCGCCTCTCTCGACGACGTCCGCCCTCCCGTGGGCGCCAACGACCAGCTTTGCGACCCCGCACGCCTGCGGCGCGAGGGCGGCCGGCCCGAATCACAGCCGCGTCGCCCTCTGCCTCCGCGCAGTCCCTCCCGAGGCGTGCGTCGCGCGCCGCGAGCTGTCCCGCGCCGAGCAGGTCCGAGCCTCGCAGCGCAGCGATCAGCGCCACACTCGCGGCGTGCGTCACCACCACCACCGTCTTGCCTACGGCGGCACGGCGCTGGAAGATGCTCCGAGCTCTCTCAGGGCAGCTCAGGCCGCGGGGCGGCGACTGACCGCGGAAGGGCGGCCGCTGCAAGGCCTGTGAGAGGAAGAGGAGCCTGCCAGCGGTCGTGGGCGGGCGTGACGAGGCGAGCGGGATGGGGAGGGAGGGAGGGGAGGGAGGAAGGGGAGGGAGGGAGGTGCACCGGCGCAGGTGCTCGATCCGCGGCTCCACTCCGGTGCCGTCCACCGCCACCGAGGCCATCAGAGGGGAGTAGGAGGTATCAATCTCGGGAAAGTACGGCAGCCGCGTGTCGAGAGGAGGCAGTGCCGCCGGCCGCTGGTGCGACTCGGCGACAGCAAAGTCCACGCAGAGAGGCAAGCCGGTGGCGTGGGCGAGCGGCTGGGCGGTCTGCAGTGTGCGCAGGTACGGCGATACGATGATCATGTCGATCCTTCCCACGCTGGCGAGGTGGGCGGCCACCTCGCGTGCCTGCGCGTGTCCGCCCGCCGAGAGCGGAGGATCGCTGGGCGCGAGCGAGGCGCTGGTGCGGCAGCGAGCGACCCAGGCGTCCTTGCCGATGGAGTAGTCGAAGCGGTCGCCGTGGCGGAGGAGGTAGATGGTGGTGGAGTCCGACATATACACAGGCTGCGGCGGTTGCCGGAAGCGAAAGCGCGAGGGCGGACTCGACGTCTATGCCTGGAGCGAGGGGGCTCCGAGGGAGGGGGGGGGCACTATCGAAGGGCGTCAAAAGAACCCGGTAACGCCCCAGCAGCCAGTGCACTCCCTTGGGTTGTTGGTTGTCTATTTTCTTTCTTTCTTTCTTTAGTGCACTGCTCCATTGGCGGCGGCGGTGGTACTGGCACGAGCGGGGAAGCCTCACATGGCTTGGTGCCAGCGGGGCATCCCCCTGCACCAGGTCGGGGGGGTAACACACTTGGTTGCCTTCGTTCTGGCAAACTCCGCTCGTATCGCCCCAGCAGCCAGAGCACGGCGTTTGCACCCCGCCGCGGCCGGCGGGCGTGATGGGGAGGGCGATGATCCTTTGGATGGTCGCTTTGACCGCTCCGATTTTAGAAACATCCTTCTGTGGGCGTACCATTCCGGCATTCGTCGGAGAGAGAGATTTTTTGCAATACCGTTGTTGTTGACTCTCTCTCTTGTTGTTTCGATTTGTTTTGTTTCGTCGGAGGTATAGTTCATGAAGTTGCGAACAAAACCGATAATGTCAAGCTCAAGGTCAAGAATTAAGCCCGATCGCAGTGCCGAGGAGAGCGCAGGCGAAGAGCCCAGCCAATCAATACAGTGGCGCCCGTGCGAGACCGCAACAGGCCCGGACCGGCGTCCTCTGGTCAGCATCTCGTCTCGACTTGGCCGGACTTTGCGGTGCCTCGTCGGCTTTGCGAGCGCTCTCGGCTTCCGTCCCATTCCTGTCATTTCTCTCTTTTTTTGGATTTTAAAAAAGAAAAATCGCGACTTCCTTGAGAGCGGCGGCGACCCACCTCGGCTGCCTTGAGCCGCGAACAACTTGAGCCGCGAACAATGGCCTCGAAGTTCCTCGACGGGCTGCTGCACGGGCCGTCCGCGCGGACGGCAGAATACGTCGACACCGCTTCCACCCTACAGACTCCTCTGGACGAGGAGCGGGCAATAAGCACGGTGCAGACGGCGGCGCTGGGAGATCAGCAGCTCGGCGGCGATAAATTGCCTTGGAGCACAGAAACCCTCGCGCAGTACGAGTTCGAGCACTTTTTCGACTTTGAGGTCAGCAAGGCTGTCTTTTTCCTCAGTGTGGTTGCCGTGGCCATCGTGCGGGCCACCTTCACTCCCTTCGGGCGTGTCACGAGCGCTGGCCGGGAGTGGCTCGACCGCGCGACGTTTGCGCTGCGGTGGGTGGCGAGCGCGGATTCGCTGCAGCAGCTTGGTGGGCCGCCTGCCGTCGCGCCAGCCGAGGACTCATGCCAACGGCGAAAAGTCGTCTCAGGCCGCTTCACGCGGTCCTCTTACGAGAGATACTGCCACGCGAATGCATTGAGTCCTGATGCACTCTGCTGGTCGGCGCTGCCCATCTAGCGGGCCATGTTTGTATTTATTTAGCGAGGGCTCAAAGTACACGGCGACTCGCAAAACAGGAGTGCCCAGCAACGCGAACAGGAACGTGGTCGTGGAGCGAGAGAGACGTCAGACGACACCGCCACTAAAGACTAGTTGCAAATACGCGGGATATACGGGTGCTGTGTCACAATGACCACTTTTGATGTTCTTTTGTCCGTGTTGCTCCCAGCGCTCTCGCCCGCGCTCCCTGAGGCCATGGCTGGTGCTACTCTAGTATGGGGGGGGCTTCCCATGCCGCTACCGCGAGAGCGACCCAACTCGTCGACATCGTCCGATGATGGTGCCGCAAAGTCAGCCTTCGGAGGCTATCGTGGGGTCGAGCCGGCAGTAGCCGTGACATGTGGTTCCACCACCCCTCGTAGGCTTTGCCTCTGACCGCCACCGTTCCCAGGCTGCCTAATGGGATGGAAAGGACTTCACGACTAGGGATAAGGGAAAGGAAGGCTCGGCGAGCGTATATAGAAGCGTTCTCGACCTCGTCGTGGCAGCCTGCACGGCAGCGCTGGCAGGCGCGATGAGCGTCGTGCCACCTGACCCGAGACGGGTCGCAGGCGTCGTACCGAGCGCGTCGAGACCGTGTCCTGATGCGCTCTGCACGGGTGAGTC